CGCGCCACTGTGATTTATCTAAACACACACACACACACACACACACACACACACACACACACACACACACACAGACACACACACACACACACACGTTGGCTCGGTCTGCATGACAAAACTAAAATATGCGCTTCCAGTATATTCACGTCCGCCGTTCACTGCGTCTCGTCCGGTCAAGTCAATTCCGGTCCGGTCCGGTCTCGTGTGGAGTCCAGGCCGGTCGGGCCCTCGCTCGTCTCGCCATTCCAGTCCAGTCCGACCCGTCACTGTTATGTTGAGTCTCTTCTTGTCCCAGCCCGCCTCTCTTTCTCTTCGTCTAGTCTGGTCCAATCGAATCACATCAAGTCTCTCCGTTCCGGAGGTCGATTCTAGCCCGGTTCAAATGGACTCCAGACGCGTCGAGTCTTCTGCGGCTCGCAACGTCCCGTCTGTTCGAGTACATTCAACCGTAGTCCGGTCTACTAGTCTTGTCCCCTAGTTTAGTCCCGTCCATCTCACTGCGGTCTCTTCTATTCTAATCCGCTCCAGTCCAGTCTGTCAGAGTCTACTGCGGTTCGTAGTCTACGCCAGTCCTGTCAAGTCGACTCCGGTCCAGTCGAGCGACTCCGGCTCAGGTTTTTATTTGTGGTCCGTTGCGGTCCAGTCCGATGCCGCCTGTCGTCGTCTAGCCGCGTCCGGTCCGGGCTCATCCGGTTCCCCCTCATCTCCGTTTGACTCGTCTCGTCCGGTCGAGTTCGGAGGCGACTCGCGGTGGCGTTTATTGACAGACCTGTCGGGGTTTTGCGGGCAGACGTGCATCTGCAGCAGGATCCTCTGCGTGAAGGTCTTGAAGCACTGGCCGCACTTCCACAGGTGCCAGTCGCTGAACTCGCTGCTGAGCTGGCTGGTGGACGTGGGACTGGCCAGGACTCTTTGGTTCTTGGAGGACAGCTGGCCGAAGGAGGACTCGGACGACAGGAACGGCGCTCCGCTCTTGTCCGCCGCCGAGAAACTTCTGCCGCACGCCATCTGAGGGAACACCATGGAGCGCACGGACGCCGACGAGGACGCCGACGGCGCGTGACGGCTTTTGCCGAAGGCTTGTTGTTGTTGTTGTTGTTGCTGCAAGGACTCCTGACGAGACATCACCTCCGACACCGACGCCGGCACGTTCACTGCGTGCACAAAAGAGCAACTTTTCAATCTTTAGGACCCGATGTCTGCGCCGAGGATCCGGGCTCTCCGCGCAAGTCCGAGATGAATGCTACGGGTTCATGTTGACCATTTGCGGAGAAAGACCTCCGTCGGCCTTTCACGTTCTACGTTCAGCGCCCACGTCTGGCGCCGTTGCAACGAGAGAGAGCACGGCAGAGGAAAGAACGATGAAGTCTCTCACGGTTTTCGTCCTGAGCGACGCACTGCAGCGGAATTCCGAAGAAGGAAGTGTACGAGTCATTGTACCAAACGAGGAGCTCGCTTCCTCGGGGGATGTCCAGGCACGCCCGGTAGAAGATGCTCGACCTAAAAGGCACAAAAAGGCAAATCGTCCAAGGAGCTCTCCGGACGCCATCGCTCACGTTGCAAACGCTCAAGCGCTTCGTTTGACCATTGGGGGGGAGGGGGGGGGGCTCATGCTACATGATCTCTTTGGACCCCCACCAGCCGCTTTCTGCGGAATGTTCTATAAAGCGCCTGCTCTGTCACTCTTGTATTGTTTGGAAGAAAAAAGGTGTCACGGTCAAGAGCGCGTCCCCTCCGCGCGAGGCAGCGGGCGTGTTTCTTTTTTCATACCTGACCGCCCGATGAGAGCCTTTGATGTGCGACACCAGCCGGCTCGGCAGAGCAGCGAGCGCAGATGAAAAACGTCACCCCGCCCAAACCCCCCCACCTCATTCTTTCCTTTCATCTGATGTGAGGTCAGGGGTATGTTTGATTTACGGCCCGGCCCCTCCTGACTGTGTTGTCATGTTGGCCCCACCCCTCCCGCGTGTCCTGAGGCAAAATAAAACACGCTTGACATGAGGCAACTTTTGACACCCCCGCGCCCCCCCCCAAAAAAAGTGCTACATTTAGCATTAGCCACTTTAGCGATGAGGTCCAAACAAGTCCTGTCCAAAGTACCGTAAGCAACACTAACCTAAACTTAGCACTAACTAGCATACTTCCGAAGACGACGAATCGCTCGGGAAGTGAAACGGACGCGCGCTTGTGAACTTGCTCTGACGTATTTTGGGTGAGTCATCACCGATATGTCACATGACTTGAGTCCTCGCCGCCGCCGCCGCCGTGTTAGCCATTCGGTTAACAACGCGAAAGACATCTTGGGATATTTTCCCCGCCGCCTCTTCGTGAGCCGCCAAGCGACGCATCCTCGGTTTAAGATAGCGGACAAGAACGACATTCGGGTATTGCGCGCGTTCTCGGCGGACGCGCGCTTTCAATGGGAACGCGACCGATGAGATCTCGAGGACGTCAGCGTGGGCGAGAACGCGAGTTGAGAAACGGCCGACGACCGAGATGGATGACAAAGCCGATTCTGTTCAAACTTGACCGCACGAGGCTAACATCCGAGAAGAGGAACGACGCGAGGCGAAGAGCGAACCGGCCTCATCCGACGCGAGCTCAATTCTCATTGGAGAAAAGGCCATCGTGTGAAGCTCGTTCAATTTTACGGGCGGGCTCAGTCGGTCTTGACGACAAAGCTAAGCATTAGCATGTCGCGCTAGCGGGTTTGTACCTGTACTGAACGACCATCATGTTCTGCTCTCCGCAGTGTCGGGCGCATCGGATGTACCTCATCCAGCTCGATTTGGCCGGATCGTTGCCGTCCAGGAAGTGACACAACGTTCCCTCGGAGTCGTAAATCTGAAACACACGAGCGGCGTCCGTTCATTGGACGGTGGTTTGGCTTGAGGGGGGCTCATATCGCTTTGGCGCCAAATGCCACCGCCGCATCGTGTTCGCGGCAATTCCACGCGGCCGGATCGCACCGCACACGCCCGCGCGGCACATCTGGTCCCCAAGATTCCGAGCATTCCCCCCCCACCGCCGCAATTATTTGGATCCAACCGGGTTCTCTTTCACACGTTGTTCACGGCCGATCCAGTTCACACTTTCCGCAAAAGTTGAATCGGGGCAAGCGGGCGGTCTTCGGTGCGATCCGCAGCCGGACGCCAACTTGGCCGCGCTTCAAAACGTCGCTCTCGGATTGGGGCCGAAGCGATTCGCGGCATCTGATCCGCACGCTGCGTTCACACGGCTTTGGCGCCCACGTTTCGGTTTGACGCCTGGCGACATCGTGAATTTGGGACACCGTCGGAGAACAGACGTGGAGGCCGGGACGACGACAGGAAGTGAATTTAAAAAAAAACACACAAAAATCCGGTCTTTGGTGAGGAGTGGACACCGTGTTGGAGGTCTTGTTGGACACGCACGCACAAAAAGCTGCCGGAACTGGATAAAGACTGCGAGACATCATTTAGCGGAATGTCGCAAGCCGAAGTCGTTCAAACGTTTTCCACACTTTCTTCTGTCTTCCTCCATTATCCTTGTTTGACTTCAAAGACCACACACGCGCGCGCCGTGCGCAAGCTCGATCCGGGATGACTTTGTTCACGCTCGCGTGCGCCCATTCGGTCCGTTTATCAAGACACGTCGGACGTGTGTTTGTGCGGCAAAAAGCCACTAATGCAGTCGCGGTTATCAAAAGCCGAGTGTGAGATACGCGCTTAGCGCGCTCACCTCGCGCTAAAACGCACTTAGCGCGGGGCGCCCGTCACACAAGGGATGATAAAACACGTGACGCACGCACGCGGGGGCCGGACGAGATTTTCCGCACTTTGTCACGCCGATAACGGCTTTGATTTCGGGAAGGCCCGAGCGGCGCCCAGTACGACTTTGCACGACGGGCGCCGCTGTCGCGGTGGTTATAGAGTCCAAATGGTGTAAAAGTGTTTGTGAGGGAAGATCGATGATCCCGCGCTTGAGTTGTACACAAAATCAATCCGAGGCGCTAATTCTGCCGTTATCTGCTCTCTTCATCGCCTCCTCTTCGGCGCAACTCTTCTTCCTCGCGCCGGCCGTCCCTGCTTGGCGCTTTTCCAGATGACTCCCGGTCACACGTTGTCATCTTCCATGGAGAGAGATGGGAAAAGAACAAAACAACCCCCCCCCCCCCCCCCCCCCCGCCATGGTGGTGTTCCTGACTCGCACCCTATTCCAGTTTGCTCCGCTGTGTGTCTCGTCTGCTTTTTTTGTCCGCCATATTGGCAAACGGCTTTCACGTTCACACTCGTTCTCGATATGATTGACTCCAAATGGTATCGTGTGACATTTCCTTCACGTCGGGTTGCAGCCGGTTTGGCCGCGCTGTCCACGTCCGCCGCGTGCGGCATCTCCGCCGCTTTCCAAGCTAACCCCGTTCCCAAGTGACCGGCACTTGATTTCTCCCGTTGGCGCCCGGCTCAGACTGGTTTCACCCGCACCATGTCCGGTGCACGCGGCCGCTCGGAACGCCATTGGCCGTCGCGGCGTGTTCGGAATGTGCGCGTGCGGCGGGGGGAGTCGGCGATCGCGAGGCGCTCGCGATTGTTGCGTTCGGCCGCGTCGCCCGCTGCGCGGCGGGCCTTTGAAACTTCCGACGAGGAGACCGAAGCAAATGTAAACGCGGCGCACTCGCTGACACGTGATGGCACCGCGGGAAACGCCAGAAGCCGAAGCGTGAAGCGGGCGGCCGCCGCCGCCGCCGTGCTCTCGGCGAGCCGCCTCATCCATCAGCTCATCGGACGTCCCAAAATATTTGCACAAGTGCTCGCCGTGCTTTCTCACACTACAAGCCCGTGGGGGCGGGGCCGGCACCGGGAAGCCGATCAGATGCCATCGCGCGCGTGCGCAACTCCACGCACGCACACACACACGGACCTCGACCCACTCGTGCACCTCCAATGTCGAATGACACGTGAGCCAAAGCGGTCAAAAAATAGGACGGCGAAGGAAGCCATTTTGTGGCAGCATAACTCCGATTTTCTTTTCACAGCGGCGCCCCCTACAGCCCAAACGCAACAAGCCCGCCAACGCCAAAACTTTGTTTTCAGACCATCACGAGCAGCCACAACTAAAATCTCTTTGCAGACGCGGTGACGGCCGCGGCGATGATGTCATTGCGGTTGTTGAAGAACGCGCCGAAGGACGGACGGCCGGCAAATAAAAAAGCCTTTTACGACATTCCGACAGGCCCGGGAGGATTGTGGGAATCCTCCTCGCGGGCGTCGCGCTAGCTAAATATTTGGCCGCCTCGCCTCGCTTTGCTTGGCGTGGCTTTGCTTTCTGTGCCGCCGTGACGGCCTCGTGACCACGTCATCCCTTTTGGGGCCTGGAAGCGTGCGGCTTTCCAACGGGAATCTTCCGCTTCCCTGTTGGGCTTCCACTCGGGAAACGACGACGACGACGACATCAAACCTCCGACGGTCTCGGCTCGACGCGCTTTGAGTTGGCACCTCATGTGGATGGGCTTGGAATTGGACTCAATCGGGCATGACGACCAAGTCGGGCAGGAAGACGATACCGCGCCCGCTTCAAACTGTCGGGCAGACGCTGCGCGCTCACACCGGCTCAAAATCGGAGCTTGGGCCCGACTCACGTTTTGCTCACGTCCGATTTTGAGCCGACGAAGCCGCCTCACATCCGACTCCCACTATGGAGTTCACACACGACTTCCACCCCCGACGCATTTAGTGTGCATTGAATTCGGATGTCAGCATCCTTCAATTGCGGCGTGCGCAAAAAGGCAGCGGGTTACCTCCCACAAGTGCCGCGTGTTCCTGGAGGCTCCGCAACGGACTTTGTCCAGCGTGAGCAGGGTGCCCTGGAAGGGTCCGATCCAGGTACCCTGGGGAATTCTTTGGGCGGCGCAGATTCCGTACCCCAGGCCGGGTAGGGTACTGGTGCAGAGACACACCTACACGCACACACACACAAATGATTGATGAATGGGGAGTTTCGAGAAGAAGAGACTTGAAAGTCGAGGCGAATCTTTCCAAAGTTCCAAAGTTTTAGTTAGAGGTGTCAATTAATTATTAATTAATCGCGTCAATTGTTCTTACTGTTTTTGATATGTTAACCTAAGCACCTTTTAAGGACCTGATGTTCTATTTTATTTTTATTTTGTAATTCTTTGGAGATTTACAAAAACAAACAAAACAGTGATATTCCCCCTCGTGGTCGAAACTAAAGGTTGCAGGTAGGACTTTGACTAGTTTCAAATACAGCAACTTTCTGCTGTATTTGAGGCTGAAATGGCGAGGACTGCACCTGTCCAAGTCTGCTGAAAAACAAAATACGTTATCATGCCACTTTTTCTTTTATCTTTTGATCTGCCTCAATAATATAACGAATTTAAAATGAAAAGAGGGGTTTTCTCAGTCATTTTTAGCTGAGATTAAAATATAGATTAATTAGATTAATTACAGCCCCTAATTAATTAACCTCACAATTTTTTTTAATCGCCTGACAGCACTAGTTTTAGTTCCTAAATCCTAAAATTGGCAGCTCAAGTCGAGTCACGCGTCCGTGGGGGGCGATGGTGTGGGGGGGGGGGCGCTCACCTCTCGGGGCAGATCTCTGAGCCAGTCGGGAACGTCGGGAAGTGGGAGGGGCGCCGGGGCGGTGCCGCTGGTGCCCACCAGCCTCCGCAGGGAGTGAAGCGGTCCGTGCATGGGACACTCGCCGTTGCGGTTGTCGGCGCACATGTCGCAGCCTGCAAGCGGACGCTCAACGTGAGGGAAAGTGAGGGAAACGCCGCGTCTCGGTCAGCCGGCGTGCTTTCGCGCCGCTTTCCCAAAGGCTTCACGTAACCCCTTCCGGGTTGCATTGGCGACGTCGAATTGATGCGGGGGTTGACACCCAAGTCCCATTGTCTGGCCTCCGTTTCAAACCCGCTTCGCACCTCAGACAAGCAATTTTGTGGAGGTTGACCTTCGACCCGAGTAACACCGAAGCCACTTCAGACCTGGTTCACACGTCAGGTTCCCATTTAGTTTCTACCGAGTTCACATTCTTCTGTCTGGTTGGTCCCGGCTTTCAACCGAGTGCAGACCGTGTCAAGATTGCACCCCCCGCACACCAACGGGTTTTTTTTTCACTCCGACCTCACATTCAGATTCAGACCTGGCAGACGAGGTGCACACCCGATTGACATTTAAGTCAACAGCACGTTTCCACCGGGGTCATACCGGGTTCAAACCCGAGTGGTCAATTTCAGTGTTGCCGCCGCTTTCACGGCTAACTGGCGCCCAATTGGCAACCGGTTCAAAGTCTTGAGTCAAACCTGGTTTCCGCTGCTTTCGGCACTCAGGTTGGATTTCCAGCTGGCTCACAACAGTCGGAAAAACGGTTTCACCCGAGCTGGTTTCACACACGCCGCGCTCGCAATTACGCAGCTCAAGTTTCTGCACCTGACTTGGGTCACGCTGTGTCAGATCTGGTTCCCACCCTGTTCCCGTCCCGCTGCTTTTGGGGGCGGGGTCAGGGGGGGCGGGCTGTTCCAGAGCATCCTCATGGTGTTCCCACAGCACGCTAACATCTGACTCCTGTTTTCTTTCCGGCTGGCCCGCACCGGTATCAAGCCATTTGTCATCGAAGCGGTCTCACGCCGCGTTACCGACGACTCCGCTGATTCGGGATCGGTCCTTGGTGTGTGAAACCCGGTTCACAAAAGCTTCAGACGTCTTTCACATCCAATTGGCGTGTTGTTTTCCCAGCCCGGCCGAGACCCGATTTCACAGCGGGTGGCTGACGTGGTGCCGCCACAATTTCACCTCTGCGGTCGTTCACGTTGTACCCGCAGCCGACCCTCAGCGGTTTCAGACCCGGTTCGCGCCATCGGGTCCACTGTGTGCTCACGGGGCTTCCTGAATGTTCTGCTGCTGCTGTTCTTTTTAATGAAGGGGGTGTTTTTTCCCTTCGAGGGGAGGGTGGGGGGGGGGTTGTTTTTTTTTAACATTTACGAGGTTCGCTTCGGCCGCACTGAAATCATTCCCGACATATTTGCGTCGCGAGCGCGGCGGGGTGAAACGCGTCAGTCGCAGCCCGACCAAGTGTGACACTAATTGACGTCAATAATTGACACGCCGATGATTATCTGGAGTTGAAAAAAAACAAAAAAAGTCCCAGCAGGAAGTCTCGCTTGTTTTTCTCTCGTCTTTTTTCCCCAAATCTGAACGATCGGCGGCGCGGGAAGAGTGACGGCCGCTGACGGATGAAGTCACGAAGTACGCGGCTGCTAAACGGGAACGACGGCAAACAAACATTCCCACTTTGGGACGCCCGGGAAAATTTGCAGAGTTGACGTCGCCCCCGCTCGCTTCTCACGACAATCGGGAGCTTGTCTCCATGTTGCCGAGCAACAACAACACACACGCACGCACGCACGCACGCACCACAATTTATAGCCATCTCACGCCCCCTGATTCATTTACGCACACGCACACACACACACACACACACACACACACACACACACACACACACACACACACACACACACACACACACACACACACACATACACATTCTTAGGGCACGATAAGAACTGCAAATGCAAGACACACTTTGCGTGCGTGGTGGTGGTGTCATTGCTCCAAAACGAGAGGACATTCTTTTGTATCATCTGACAAGAAGATGCGATGTCCTGTTCGCGTGTCGATGGATAAACGACTGATTTGTGAATTCACTTCTTCACAAATCAATTCAATTTGTGGAGATTAAAAAATAAAAAAAGACTCCTGTTGACGAATCAAGTTTTGCGCTGACTTGTTTGGCGGAGCGTTTTCCCTTCCTGAGTCGGCTCCATTTTTGCTCTTTGAAATGTGGACTTGTCGATTGACAAAATTCACTTTGTCGGTTAAAGCGACTCACATTTCTCGGGACGTATTTGCAATGCGGTGTCAAGAAAAGGACATTTGCTTTTGAAGAAATGCCATTTCGTCATTGGCGACCGATCTTTGCTCACTGAAGAGCACAAATGCGCATGAAGGAAGGAATTTGGCGCCCTGAACAAACAAGTCGCATCTGCTCAGTCAGAAAAGAAATCACATTTCTGGCTTCATAAAATGTGCCTGGGGACGAAGAAAAGTCTTTTCAAGGAGGTGACTACAAACTACCTTCGCTCTCCATTTCTTGATTCAGAAATTACATTTTTAACTCACAGACTCAAATTTGGGGTTAATGTGTTTTCTTTGTGTGTGTGTGTGTGTGTGTGTGTGTGTGTGTGTGTGTGTGTGTGTGTGTGTGTGTGTGTGAGAGGGAGAGAAACCGACCGCTTTATTTACACACTAAACACTTCACTTTCAGACACACACGCACACACACACGCGCATGCACATGGCCCCCCGGGACCTCCGTACGGTTGTGTTGGGATGATAAATAGCGTTGCGCTGGATCGATCCCCCTCCCTTTTCGACCCCCTCATCTCCCCCAACCCAAAACTATATGCAGCAATTAATTCCCGCTTGTCCCGCCATCCCTCATCGGCCCTGCCGCCGCGTATCGACGCAGATTACTGCTGATGAACCGTTTTATCACACGTGCGCGCGCACGCACGCACGCACACGCCTTCATCACGTCGCTTCCGTGACAACTTTGAACACGGGCCCGAGACGTGAGCGCAAAACACGCGCCAAAAAGAAAATCATCTCTGTTCGGACACTCCGATTCCAAATTGGAAATGAGACGACATTTCAATGTGGAGACTTGAAGCGACCCGATTTGAAGCGGCAAAAGTGCATTGAGGTGATTTGAAAAAGCGTTACATTGTGTGCGAGTGTGTGTGTGTGTGTGTGTGTGTGTGTGTATTTTTTATTTTTTTTTAATAAATGACAAAAAGGATACACTTGCTTTAAATCCACACATCCAATGATGCGTGAAATGAAGATCATTCATTTTGCTCATCGATCATTTGAAAGTGAAACGTGATCGTGATCCATCCCGGCCGGCTCGAGGCCGCTGACCTCTGACGGCCAAAAAGAATCCGCCCTCATTTTGAACATTGCATTTTTAATTTTATTTTATTTTTTGAAAGAATTTTCCTCCCCTGACTGTAGTTTTTCGTTCATTGTTGCTTTTGAATAAATATTCAGAGGCTGCAACATTTTGCGGCGGTGCACTGAGCTTGAATTCAAGGCAAGAACATTTGGAATGACCTTCAACATTTTTCGGACGACTGTATTAAAATCGAGAGATTCTCAATGAAAAAAAATGACAATTAAAAATATGCAGATATATCAAATATTGAAGACGTGTGAAGAGTCAATTTGTCAAAGGAACGAGGCAAACCGTCGATAATTTGAGGTGTCAAATGTTTTCAAAATTAGAGGTTGATTGTCAAGACATAAAAATGTGATTTCATGTTAAAATGAAAAAGAAACCAAATGACGAGTAAAAAACTAGATACACACACACACACACACACACACACACATTTTTGTGTGTGTGTGTGTGTGTGTGTGTGTGTGTGTGTGTGTGTGTATAGAGACTGTCTAGTTTCACATGTGCGGAAAAGTGCGCGTACGTACGGTTGTTGACGTCGGCGTTGTGGCTGCTGACGGGTATGATCTCCATCCTCTGCTGTCCGTACAGGAAGTAGTCCAACTCCTCGGCGGTCAGCTTCGTCCCGTCCGCCGCCCGCGCGGACGCCGACGCGGCGGCCTTCCCGTCTTCCTCGCCGCCGCTCTTGACGCTGGAGGACACCACCCCGACGCCCCCGCAGCGCCGCTCCTTCACTTGGAGGAGGCGTCCCAGCGCGGGGTTCTCAGCGGCGGGGGCCGCCACCCCCGCCAAGGCGTCCCC